AATTTCAGAAACAAATTTGACTGTAATGATTGATAGTACTTTATAGTAAATTGCAGTTGTGCGAATTCTTTCTGTTTAAAAATTCATATAATAATCGCTTTCAAACCAAGTAAATAATAGCTTGTTATGAGTTTATGCGTTTAAAGATATACACTATGAAGATAATTTTAAGTGAACTAAAGTCTAAAAATAGAAAACGCTGAATGTCCAAAAGACATTTTCTTTCGTTTAAGAATGTCCTATCAATATTAAAATTTTGTTACTTTTGTACTTATAATTAAAGGCACTTACAGCATTTTCCGTTTCATTTCGTTTGAGAGATTAGTTTTTGTGCTCATAACACTAGGTTTGCCATTTCATGTGTTTCACAATTCGTTAACCAGGACACTGTAGTCTTTCTTTGTAAAAAAATAATAAAAATTTTCGGAAATTTTTTATGCTTTTCTTATTTTTATTTTATTTTATAGTCATCAATTTTTTCTGGTTTTGATTAAGAGCTCATGTTATTAGCAAATTTGAACATATTATTGCACATTTTTGTTAACTAATCAACAAATATAAAATGCATTATGTGGGAAAAATGATAGTGAATCATAAAATATGTAGGAAAAAAATAGTACTGCATTTTCAGCTAAATGTACATAAAAAAAAACACGAATGCACTTTCTGGGAATATTTTTTTCGTTTCCATTATTTTAAAAAAGTGGTACACGTATTTATTTATAGATGAACTTGAAACCCTTAAATTTCACTTATGGAAGTCAACATAACACCAAAGATGCCACAGGTGACTAAAAATACAAAAAATGGGGAGTAATAAATAGCAAAAATCTGCTAAAAGAGATTAAAATTGGCAACTTTTTCCAGTTCTTTTTCTTTCAGTTTCCTATTAAAAAAATTTACAAAGAGAGTTTTTGTTTTAAATATGAATAATTTGCAATGTAAGTCATGGTGGTAGTTACGATTGAATAATTAAATAAGTAAAAAGGAATTGAGTTTCTATCACTTCTTACAATTTTAGTCGCCTGTGCAATCCTTGTAGCACTGAAGAAATCAGAAAACGACGGAAGAACTACCAATTTTTTGTAAAATGATCGGAATTGGGAAAATAAGTTAAATTAAACTTAAAAAAAAAAAAAAAAAGCACTCGTAATATATAGATATGATAGGAATCGTAAATAAAAAGACGAAACAAATTGTAAACACAACCTAAATATTAAAGATAGACGAAAGAATCAAAGTATGTTTTTCAAAAAAAATTGTTTTTCCAAACAGTATCCTGATTTCATTAAATCCTAATGCTTATTTAAAAAGCAGCGTAGTGTCAAAAAATATGAGTAATTTATTTTAATCTATCAATAAGATATTTGATTATGTTTTGTAACAATTATTTAAGCTATAATTTAAACTTTTTAAAAAAACGATAAAATATTTTTAAAGAAGTTCCTGTAGATACTGGCATGGCTTTAAATATTTTTTTATAGTAATACTAAATGTAAGTAAGACAATATGACGAAGACATAGATTTTGTTACTAGTTTCTTTTCTAAAATATAAGATTAAACTTCTTAAAAATAAAGCAAGTTGTAATTAATGGAACGTAAAAGTGGTATTTAATCGAAAGTGAATAGAAACCATTTACACTAGAAAATTATATTTTTCATAAATTGAGTTAAAAATCGTTATAGTTAAAAAGAAATTTTAACAAACCCGAGCTAGGAGCATCACATCTATAATCACTCTACTGAAGAAATATTGCAAATATAAAGTTATATTATGTTTATTATCTTACTTTTACATTCTTCAGTTAAAAACAATCAATTTTATGCCAAAATTATTTATTTCTAATACTGCTATGGTAAGACATAAAAATATATCAAGCGATGATAAATCTTTAATAATGTAGTAGTGAACTTTTAATAATGATGTACATTCTCAGAAAAAAATTGTTCAATGTTGAACCTTGAGAAATCTCGGTCTATATACTTAAAAAAAGGATGGTCAAAATGGTGAAATTTACCGTGTTTCTTGTTTGTTAAAATCTCGGTAATCTTCGAAAGCGCTTTGGTAATGATATTGATAAAATTATCAGCAAAATGTAATTTTAAAATGTATAATAAAATTTGATCAATTTGGCAATTTTATCATGTATGTTAAAGCATCGCATTTATTCTGTTAAATTTTCTTTTCTGTTTTGTATTTTTTACTAAATGTGTGGCAATAAAACCATAATTTTGAGAACCAGAATTTCCGGTAAAATAATATGAATGAAACATTACCAAAAGAATGTTATGAATACCGTATAATTTGGATTCATTAATCAGAATTATGGCTTTCTCTGCCAGGTCTTGTCATTACCACACCGTACGGTAATTTCACCACAATTTTTTTTCTCAGTACAATACGATGCAAATTGGCTTTTACTTTAATAAGGTATTAACTTGGACACTATGTTACTGCTCAAGTTGATGTTGGCGTTGCAAAATCGAGTTTAAGAAGTACTGTAATAAATGGTTTAATTTAGCAACATATTTAGGTTGCAGCTAATTTGAATGATATTATGGCTTAACACGCTCCATAAACAGTGTAGTAGCAAAAATGATGATAAAGTAATAACTTAAAACTATCAGAAAACTTTAAATGTATCTTATATAGAGTTGACAACAAAAAATATAAATAAATTAACTAAGTATGCCTTACTAAAAAAGTTTTGATGGTTTCTTAGTTATCATATGTGTAATATGGGTATGTGAACCTAAACACGAAACTACACAATCAGTTATTGTTCTCTTTGACAAGTAGCTTATCAGACTTCTTGCAACGAATCTTGAAAAGGTTAAGAGACGATTAGTGGCTTGGAATTTTAAGACTACTTCAACGAACTTGGCGATAAGAAAGTTACGTCAAGTAAGAATTTATACAACTGAGTATATTCAAGTGATTCTGATGGACCTCCAGCAAGGATTCATCTATCTACTATCTAAGTCCATTAGTCCATACATATATGTGATAAAATAAAAACATTTTTTTAAAGTAACTCGAGAAGAAGTGATGGTATTTGGCGGGGTTTTCTTATATTCAGTGTTGTTTGTAAATAAAGCTGCGGTTCCCCCAACCATAACGAAATTCGAATGCACTAACTTAGATCGAATATAACTATTTTAATTTAAATCTCAAGTGTTTTCATACAAAGCTAGACCTTAACGACATGAATTTGATAAATGTTGCATTGTAAGTGCCGGTGTTTCCAAATAAATTGTCAATAAACGCTGTAAACATGTAAAATTTTTTAATATTGTAAAGAATTTTATAGGGCATGTTTAAAAATTATTTAAACTAATTTAAAAGGAAATTTTAAAAATGGTATGTTTAACCATTTTATCTAAGAGGATCTTAGGTTGTAACGGATTGAATCTATACCCCTGGAAATTTAAAGGACGATCATGAATAGGACTTTTTTAGAAAAATGTACGAAATCATTAATGACTAAATAATAGAACGATTGATTTTAATCGATACTTTATTTAAATTATTAAATATTTAAAAATTGAGAGTAATTTATACCATATAAAAACCTTATAATCTGAGACTAATAAATTTATTTTATGACCGAAATGCAAAAAACAAAATTCGCTTTTAAAATTTCTTTCAATATGCAATTTATACTAAAAATTAAAATTCATCATTTTTCCGAAATAATTAAAAATAACTAAAACAGTGTGTTATGCTTAATTATTTTCAAAAAAATATTTCCCATCATTTATGAGATTACTTTCATTTGTGCTATATTTTTCTAAGTAAAAATCACATTATCTATCATTATTTAAAGCTCGGGTCTCAAGGAGATGCATTAATTTTTTTACCAAACTTTATAACCATTTTTTTTCAGTTTTGTTTATTTTTAAGTGTTTGTGACATATGTGTAATATGCCACACGGAAACATAGAAAAAAAATCTCAATCATATAGTATAAAATTTTTAAAATAAAATAAGTGAAATTAAATTGAAACACGTTGCCTTTATTAAACAGACGAGAAACATTAAACGTTTCTAATTTTAAGTTTGCAACTAAGTTTAAAGTAAGACGTATTGAATAAGCATCACTATGAAAGTATTTCTTTCAATTATATGAAACTGGAAATTTTTTTTAACTGAGTAACAATTTTGTAATAAATTTTATTTAAATTAATTTTTGGTAAAAAACCATATTCGAAAGAATGTTTACACTGATCAAATCATAAATCAGCTAAAATATGATTTGAATGAAAAGTATTTTATTTTTACATAAAACTGTTCTATTTTTTAAAATTTTTAGAAGTTAATGGATATTAGTAAAAAGCATTGCTTCCTCAAATCAATGTAATGTGCTTCGTTTAAAATTGTCTTATTTGTTTCGAAATTTTTTTTTAAACTTTCATAAACTTAAGTACAAGATTTCTTTTGTGTTTGGACAAAAAACCAAGTATAACTTACTTAATTCTAAGAAATTCGAGTTAGTAACTTCCTTTATGTTTCCGTGAAAAATGTTTTCCTGCTATTTCAACGTCTTTTTTTAAAATAAATAAGAGTAAAAATATTTACAAAAAATAGTAAAATATTCTTTAAACAATTCTACTAAAAAATAGTCTAAATCAAAAATAAATACAATCTTTTAAAATTAATTTAAATAAAAAATAATTATAGTATTTTAAAATTAGCTTTTCAATTACACCAGAGTCTTATATTGTTATCTTAATAAGTATTTTATTCATTTTTCAAGTTCTTTCTGCAGAAAATATCAAAACAATTTATTTAATCAATTATTTCAAACACTAAAGCAATTTCTATTGTGAGTTTTATGATTGAAAATAAAATTGATTATTTAAACTTAACGTAAAATAAACTCGTTTTTAGACTCATCAATTTTGATTTCTAAAAATTTATCTAGTTAATCACTCAAAAAATACAAAAACAAAAAATAAATATTTTAAAAATAAATTATGAATAAAAACTTATTCTTACCTATATCAAGATCTTGTGGGTCAGTTTTTGTTCGTAGAGATTCAGGAATGGAAACTTTAGTCTCTAATGAAAGACCAAACATGATTACAAGTGAAACCAGAACTAATAATTGTTGAGCCATTGTTCGCACATTTGAAGTTTAGTACAAAAACTTGAAAAATAGTCAATTTAGTAAACTTGAATGACAGTCAACTTTCGAATATTGCAGTTTAATTTCTTTCAGAAAACATTAAAAAGAGCATTGAATTCCTTGTTAGTTAATATCAAACATGCAACTATCATCTCATAGCTTCATATCCGTCTGTTTTATTCCTTCATTTTTTTTCTAATCAGATGCTATGGTCTTTTTTACTTGTATAACAACGAGTTTGTGATTACATTTACTTGAGAATGCCAACTTAAATATTCAATAAGAAACATAAACGAGCATACAACAGGTAATTATGTATACATAAATATTTGTCCTTTATTTATAAAAGTTGAGAGTAATATTACATTATTACTTATGAACAATTTTTAAAATTGTGCGAATTAGACAGATAAAATTGTATGTATAATGTGCAACATTTGTTTAATTTTCAAAATTGCCTCTTTGAAATTCATTAATCACATCGTTTTCGGTAATCTCTGTACATGACTTTAATCAATTTCCAAAACAAAATTATTTAATGGAAACGTATGTACGTTTAGAATATTTTAGATGCTTACTGATTTAATATTTAAGAATTGTATAATGACAATGGTTTGTATGCAAGTTTGCTCTTTCAAAAACTCAAGTTTACAAAAAGAAACTTTTTAAACCGCTTTTATCTAAAGTAAGCACTTTCTAAAGAAAAGTTCCCTTCATCAGAAATTTCATAAGTCTTACAAAAAAGTTCAAACTTATCTTGAATCGCAATGTCATGGAATGTTAGTGTCAGTTATAGAAAACAAAAAATGTTCCTTTTTTGAACGTTCCATTTCGAAAACTACTTCTCATGTTCCTAACCAATAGTTACGTCATTAATTCAAAATTTTTTAATAAGTAAAAAAAAGCAGACGATATCGTAAAATGTCCAAAGAAATTCACAAATATTTAAGTTATCGTCTGCGAGCACGTGTGTCCCATTGCCGAGAGCCACTGCCAAAAACAGTGATAAAGCGACGGCCGTATCATCCGATTCATTCCTTGGCTATCATCTTGGCGAGTGTCCAACCCCAACACTCTTCTCTGTCTCAACATCAGCGAAGAGCTGAATAAGCGAGACAGAACGTCTTTGAGGAAAACTAGGATGATAGTAAGTAGGGGCGGGGAACGTAGCCCCATCTGATCGACAGGAAAGTGCGCCATCTGGCGCAAGGGGGCTAAGCTCACTTAATCTCGGGAGGGCTTAGTGGTGCGGGGCTTATATCTACGAAAGAGTGGCTTCGAAGGAAAAGCGTTAATCCAGCCACCACTTGCTCTGCAGAAGAGAAAGACGTTTCTTATTTTGACAGGGTTAAAGTTCAAGTGAGTTTTGAAAGAGGTTACTTCTGGGGTGTTAGAGATTGTATTAAACATTTATGTTTGAAGACTCTTAATAAAGTTGATAGGGGTAATTGAATTTAATTAATGAGCTTCCGGCTGCTTTTTAAAACTAAGAAGAAATATAAAATGTTAATTATAAATCAACTATATTTGTTCGAATGGAAATTAATGAAAATAACATTTTGTTTTCTGCCTATGCAATTATGGATAATCATTGTTAAATTTGAATAATTAAAATATTTTTTAGGTCATATTTGCAAGAGATTGTGGAATTTGTCATCAAGTAAAAATATATGTTAATAATCGAATAAGAAAACGTTATTCAACATAACTTTTAGTTTAACTACTCAAAAGATGTAAGCGGGTAGTATTTTGAGCAAACACGGCAAAAAAAGGGTTACGCAAAATTGAGCAAAAATATGTTAAATATTGTCAAATTTATTATTGAGCCTTTTGAGCATTTCACTATACTCAACAATGAAGACATGGGGATTTTCAATTTCGACTATATTTGATTCGGAGCTATTTTTTGGACACATTGGCATTCAAAGTAAAGTACTACTTCAAAAATAATCTTTATAAATGTTTTAACACAGTTTTTTGTGTTTGAATAAGCTAAATAATTTTAAAGCGTTTATAGTAATAATCTTTCATGGAGTGTATAAAGAGAATGAAAGAAGCTAATTAAAAAGAAATTGTCGAGAATGAGAAAAGACAGTTATTTAGTTAAATGGGTGCAGAAAGCAGAGAAAAAATTCAAACGTTAAACTTTAAAATTGAAAATGAAAATTATAAAATAAAAAAATACAGATAGATATTAAAATTAATTCTACAGTTCATTAGTTTTCTACAGTAAAGAAAATTCTACAGTTTATTAGTTTTTCGTGAATTTTTTTTTTGGGGGGGGGGGGGGTTTCAACACANGGGGGGGGGGGGGTATTTCTAAAAACTGAGGCGTAAACTATGAAATAAACAAATTAAATAACCGGTTGAGAAAATTTTTATCTTTATGCAGGATGTTCTTCAAATTCTAATCTCAATACATAGGTTTAAAGTCCTTTTCAAAATTTTTAAACGTTTGAAAAGAAATTAAAATTCTCTTCTTAAGGAGAATCTTAAAATTCTCCTTAAATTTTCATTGATTGTTAATGAGCGGTGGTGGCTGAGGGGATAAAGTCTCCCAATAAGGTAATCCGTGTTCCATTTCCAGCGATGGCTGGTCCAAAAGAATTCCGCACCCAGCTTGCACCGACCACAGTGCTGATGTAAAATATCATCAGTGGTACTGGAGGAGGAAATGCGGAGGATGAGTAATACTAGAGAAGGGGGGGGACTGGAGGAGGGGTTGAAGAATTAGAATATTCAAACACAGTTGGGCGCTGCATTCGACTTGGTTACCATTACAGTTAATATGTTGTACAAAAAAATTTATTTACCAAAAAAATTAGGTACCAAAAAAATTTATTAATCAATATTTTTCTTAATCACACTATTCTAAATTTCAGTTGTTGAGAAAAGTAACTGTTGTAAGTTTTGTTTTAAAGTCTTTCCCACCAGAGGGCTAAAGCCATGTGTTGTAAAACAATATGAAATAGTAGTCTGCCACTGAACGCCGGATGTAAAGCATCGGCTTTGATGAAGATAATTTTGTATTTTTAATTCTCTGAAGGGCGCCACCTTAATAATATGGAATTTGTAAAATAAATGTATATATTTTTGATTGTTGATGAAGCCCATCATTTTGTGTTTTCATCAGTGTTCAGAAGCAGAACAACTATAAGTTTTTTATTTTATCACAAAAATATAAAATGTATAAAAAACAAAGAAAAGAGTAAGAAAATGAGTATAGTCATAGAAAAAGTTAAAATTATAATATAGTATTTGTCAGTTAAAATAAAACTTTTTGTTTAAGTCATTGCTAACAATTCAAATTTCTCCGAGGCAATTCTAAAGTATAAATTAAGGTAGTATTGTTAAGTTGAAACACAATATTTTTAGTTTTGATGTCAACAATACAATTCAATTTTTCACAAAAACGATTGTTTCCATTGTTAAGTTCAATGTCAACAATTCAAATTTTTCTGAGGCAACTCTTAACCTCTAAATATTATTTTTTTTATGTACACATTTCTAAATGTCAGTATTCAACCACAAAACAACTTAAAGTCCTCAAATTTAGCATGAAGTTGTAAAATGTAATGAAAGAGGGTCATAGCAATAATGAAAGTAGAAGTAAAGTTAGTACTGTAAAATTAAAACAATATTTTTAATCAATGAGCCAAGTTCTTCAAGAAGCAGTTGTAGAAGTAGGTTGTTTATTTAAAACTTTTTATAGAATTTCTTTAAGAACACAATTGTTAATTTGGGCATTTGGCGATACAACACTTTTAGAATTGAAGGATTTGTTACGTCAAGCGCTCAGGTATCATAATTTTGATCTAGTTGCGCTTCTATGTCATTTTGATTTATGTTGCTAAGTTAACTTTCAAAAAATTCTATGGCTGGCAACAGCATTTTTATTTTTTAAGTTGTTTATTTTTATTTCTTTTAGAATTCGTTATTTTTTTAGCGAAATGTTTTTTAACCTAACAGAATTCTTTGCCGACTGTTTTCTCTATGAATGAAGAAAATAAAGTAAATATTTAACTGTTGTGAAAAGAATCTTATTTAGTTGTACAAAGTACTTCAGCCAAAATTTGGGAGCCACGTAAGAGAATTATTCATATTAGATCAGAAACACATCATTAAAAGGCAGATTGCTTTGGTGTTTTCAAAACAAAGCAAACGTTGCCACCTGCGGAAAAGAAATACAGCCAAAATTTGGACTGTGAAAGCAGTTCCGGGGGTTGGTGAGCGCAAGCGAGCAGGGGGCGAAGCCTCCTAGTTTATTTATAGTTCTATATATAAATGCTCTATTAAATTCAAGAGATTTTTATTGCTTATAGATTCTACCTACAGAAAATCCGCGATAGTTAAGCTGTTTAGCCATCAACCTTTTCGATTCCAACTTTAAATTTATTCTAAATGTTTTGCTTTGAGGAAACATCGTCTGCACTTATAGAAAGCGCCAATCACAGGAATAGTGAGAAAAAAATTGTTTTGCCAAACGATTAAAATTAAATCCTATTTTTTTTAGTGTTACATTATTTAGTAGCCACCCTGAAGTATCATGTTTTTATTAAAAATTAGATATTATAAAATTGAATAAATAAAATACATAGCTTTAATTGACTTAAATATTTTGCATCCTTTTTTACATTAAATAATTTAGTTTAAAATGAATTTTTATTTCTAGTTTATTATTATTAAAACAACAATTTTTAAAGCAATAAATTTGGTTGCTTTTTTTAGGCTTCCATTTAAAAAAATGTGTCATGACTCTCTCAACTCGGATCTTATAATAATTGTCATTGTATGCCACAAAACTGATAACATATAATATTTTGAGTAATAAATAGAACATAAATAAATATTGAATTGAATAAATATTTATTGAAACACATTGCGGAATTAAAACGGTAATAAAAGTCATATCATTAAAAGTGCAAAAGTAAACGAAAAAACACGCATAAATACTTGAATGGAAAGAAATACAAATACTTTCATTTTTAGTAACAAAAACTTCTATTTAGTTAGAAATGTTTTTATTTACTCGAAAATGCGTCGTTCGTTATGCTTAGGGATAAGAAACATTACTAGAGAAATTTCACGTTTGTTTATTTCTATCATATTCATAATATTCGGAAATAACAGCTTAAATCAAAGCTGATTTTAGACTAGCGTATCAGTGAAAGAAAATAATTTGCAAGCCGACATAAAAAAAATTTATTTTGAATAATAATTTTAAAGTTGCAATTAGGTTATCAAAGTTTTGTAAATGAATAGCACATTATTTTTATGAAAAATAAAATAATAATTTCTAATTAAACATAAAATACTTTATGAATTCCTTTTGAGCAAATGTATTTCTTATATTTTTTTTATGTTTAATTGGAAAGGAAATGATTTTGATTTAATGAAGCAACCCACGGAGAAAAAAATTAATTAAGCCAACAATCATTGAAACAAAATAACGATGAATTAAATTAAGTTTTAACTTTACTTTTCAAAGCTTCAAATGTTTTAATTTGGTATGATTTGCAAATTAATGTTGTTCCCATTTTTGAAAAAATAAAAATGCTAGAATTTGTGTTTCTAATCCCCGAAATGTACGGGGTACCCGCAATCTGGAAATATAGTTCCAATAGTTTGGTAGGGAGAACGGTTTGAAGTTATGATTCCTTCACGTTATTTTTTTCTTTTTGGTTATTGTGTTATATCTCAAGAACTTTTTCAGCGAATTGGAAAGTTTTTGCACACAGTTGCAAAATTCTCTTATTATGAAGATAATTCCGCTCAAAAACAATTTTTAATAATTATTAATTATTTTTTATTATTTTAATAAATTTCAAATTGAAAGGCATATGTAATTCTTTTACATCATTTTAAAGAATGTATTTTTACGTGAAAAAGTGCAAAACTTGAACGAAATCAGTCTAATATTTTCTGAGAAATCGAATTTTAAAAACACGACTTTTTTTAAAAAATCCGATCATTGAAACAAAAATTATTAAATATAGTCCGTTTTTTGTACACTGTGCCGTAAGCTTTCTTTATAAACAAAATGTTTTGATCCTTATGAGCTTGGATGTTTTTCATCAAATAAGATAATAATACAGCCTACACTTCATTAGGATACTTTTAAAATATTTTTTAGTTAGGCTGGAATGGGTATTTAAAAATATATAAAATTATTCATGACGAATCTAAAGAAAAATTTATTTAATTTTTTCTTGCTCCTTCTATCATTTCTTTTCTTCGTTTAGAAATTATATTACACTTTACGAAAAGCGATAACATTATGAAAATATACTTTAGACTTCATGCAAAGTAGTCCATCCCAA